AGGCTTAGAGCTGAAGCACTAGGTGGTTTGAGGTATGAGAAGTGAACTTGGATCCATGCAGGAACAATATATGCTCTTAACCACTGAGCCATCTTTCTATCCACTGGCAATACTTTTAAAGTATAATTTTAGAAAGTGAATTTAATAAACATCACTGATCCTCACATGCAAATGAGCTTCTTGAATGATGATTATGACTGATTACAGTTCTAAGACACTTTATTATAATTATTTGTACCTATTATGTACAACTTGTAGGAGTCAAACTGGGGATCAAACTCAGGTCACTGGGCTTGCTAACAGGTACCTTTACCCACTGAGCCATCTTACCAGCGCCCTAAGGCAATGTTCTAAACGTGCAATTTATGTTCTTATTTAACACACACACAACCCCAGTCTTTTGATGTGGGATGATTATGTGTACTTTATAGATAAGGCAACTGAGGCTCAAAGAGTTGAGTAGCTACCTAAATAATAAGTTGGTGGGCACAGGATTCAGATTCAAGCAGTCTGACTCCAAGATCCACTCGTCAGTCTCTGCTCAGGGTCCCTAGAGATAGTGTTCTAAAGAACAGAGGTAAAGCCAGATGAGTAAAGGGTTGTCTTAACTGTTTAAGATCTCTAAGTAGAACCAGCACAGGGGAATCTGCAGTTACTAAAGAAATCCCTTCTGCCTTTGAATGTAGTCAAATCAGAGTTTGGTTTTGCTTTTTTGTGGTTTTTTTGTTTTGTTTTTGTTTTTTGTTTGTTTTAAGAAAAAATATTTGTACCATGTATAGGGTTCTTAGATGTAAATGACTGTTTAACACTTCAACAGGTCCGTATGCCTGAGTGCTCATCCAATAAATATATAGCATTAAAGGTAATGATACTATTCAAGCTGAAAGAGGAAACAAACAAACAAAAAAAGATTCAGAGTTACAGAGAGGCAGATTCTAACTCAGACCAACAAAGAAATCCTGTCCTTCCTGTCCTTGCCTGTGTTCAGCCCTAAGCAGCTGTGTACCAGCCTGCCAGGGGCTTGTGCATGGGAGTCTGCCACATGGGAGAGGGTACACTGAGCTTCCTGGGAGTCTTTGGTTAGAAGGTAAACTCATAGCAAGCCTTTGTTTTGTTAACATGATTGTAACTAAATCCAAAGAAACTGGGCCTCAAAATATTTTCATTAAATATAATGAGGTTTTTGGGGTTTTTTTAAGAGTTAAAGATGTAAATGAATTAAATTTGAGTCATACAAGTTCTCACACTGTTTTATCTGTAGAGAGCAACTAAGTAGGTTCTAGGTATTAATTAATACCTTGGGAACTGTAATTAGATTTCAGGAATACAGTGGGGAAAGCCAGTTTTGAGAGAGGACCGGAGCTTCTGAGACACTAAAGTTCTGCCTAAAACATTGTGAGGTATATGTTAATACTATTTTGCTTCATTATAAGGTATAACCTACCTCTCCTGGAACTTATATGAATCAGTAATTTAGACTATTAAACTAGATATGCAAGGAAAGGAAAAGAAAGCCTTTGCATATCAGTTCAGAGCCAAGTAGTCTTATTGTGGCGTTAATCACCACCTCAAGTTATACAAAGAAAGAATGTTCCTGTGCTGTGGAAAGGAAGGACAGCTTTCTTATGAGCATGACTGTAGTTGTTTGTTTTTGCTCTTTTGGCTCTTGGATCTTTTTTGAGAGGCCCACCACCCAGCTCCCAAATTAATCACACATGGAGGCTTATTCTTAGTTATGAGTGCCCGGCCTTAGCTTGGGTTGTTTCTTGCCAGCTTTTCTTATCTTAAGTTAACCCATCTACCTTTTTCCTGTGGGCTTTTATCTTTCTTACTTCACTCTTACTCCATGGCTGACTGGGTGGCTGGCCCCCAAAGTCGTCCTCCCCTTATTCTCTTGCTGCTCCTCTCCCTGGGTTCTCCTTATTTATCCTCTCTGCCTGCCAGCCCTGCCTGTCCCTGCTCCAGCCTCACTATTGGCCATTCAGCTCTTTATTAGACCATCAGGTGGTTTAGACAGGCACAGTAACACAACTTCACAGAGTTAAACAAATGCAGCATAAACACCTTAAAATAATATTCTACCACTCATGATCAAAGCCTGCCTGCTCTATCGCAGCTGAGATTCAGTTAGGCTTAAAAGACTTGGAGCTATGACACAATTCTACTGCTTTATTAAATGAATGGGCTTTTGGGTTTTGTATGTTTTGCTTTTGTTTTTCAAGACAGGGTTTCTCTGTAGCTTTGGAGGCTGTCCTGGAATTTGCTCTGTAGACCAGGCTGGCCTCAAGAACTCAGAGATTCGCCTGCCTCTGCTTCCCAAGTGCTGGGATTAAAGGCATGCGCCACCACCACCACCACCACCACCACCCGGCTGAAATGAATGTTATTCTGAACAAATAAAATATATCCTATTTAAGCAGGGAACCAGGCATGGTAGGCTCACACCTTTGATCTTGATCCTAGCTTCAAGAGACGAAGGTAGATGGATGACTGTAAGTTTGAGGTCAGCCTGGTCTGCATAGTATGTTTGAAGCCAGCAGACAGCTGCCTCGGGGTGACCCTGACAATTTGAGTTTGCTCCTAAGAAATACTTATTTTATGTGTGTAGGAAGGAACCAACTCCTAAAAACTGTCCTCTGACCACTGCACACACAAAATAAGTATTTTCAAAAAGTTTTCAAAGAAGGAAACCAGATGTGGAGATACAAACCTACAAGCCTAGCATTTGAAAGGTTGGGGCAGGAAAATCACAAGTTCAAGGTCCAGTCTGAACAATGTGAGATCCTGATTAGATAAAAATTTCAAAAAGGAAGCTGGGCATGGTGGGTCATGCCTTTAATTCCAGCACTCAGGAGGCAGAGGCAGGGAGGGAGATCTCTATGAGTTCAAGGCCAGCCAATGCTACAAAATGAGACACTGTATTAAAAAAAACACAAAGGAGATAATTGTGTGCTATTGCACAAAAAGATGGCTCTAGATAATGATATGTATTTTCAAAAGTTAGAATAGAGAATTTTGAGTGTTCACCATAGAGCAATGTCACATGTATAAGAGATATTTCTGACCTAATTTAAATACTGGATAATATAGACATGTATCAGAACATGCCATTCCTTCACATATAATACAGTTCTTATGTATTATTATACATTATATTTTATTGTTCTTACAAGAAGATGGGGGGTAGCTCAGTAGATAAAGTGAGTTTTGTTGTTGTTGTTGTTGTTGTTGTTTTAATGCTGGGGAGATGGTTTCGACCTGAGTTTCGACCCCCAGCATCCACCAAGAACCAAGAAGCTGGGCATGACAACAAGTGTCTGTAATCCCAGCACTGGGGAGTGGAGAGAAGAGAGTCCCTGGGACATGCTTAGCAGCTAATCTAGCTGAATTGACAAGCTCCCAATTCAGTGAGAGATCCTGTCTCAAAATTGAGATAGTGATTGAGAAAGACACAGCATTGGCATCTGGCCTCTTATGTGGGTGCATACATATGTGTGCGCACATACACACCTACATACACTCAAAAGAGAAAAAAATTATGATCTTAAAAATAACCAAAATTTTTGGGAGATGAAGAAATGGAGGAAATGGATGACGTTCCCTTTAAGATGTCCTTGATTTGTTTCTAGAACTATTTATCTTTTTTCCCTTCTTCCAACACCCACATGTCAGCTCACAACCTAACTCCAGTTCCAGTGGATTTCATGCCCTTCTGACTTCTTAGGGACACACACACACAGTACTCACACATACATGTAAGCAAAACACTCATAAAATTTTTTTTTCAAAAAATACTTTTAAAGAAATATGCTATTTTAGGATGCATGTAATCACACTTGAGGAGGCTAGAAAGAGAATTGCTATAAGTTCAAGGCCTACTTGGGATTCAGGGTAGATCTTGTCTCTACCGTGTGTGTGTGTGTGTGTGTGTGTGTGTGTGTGTGTGTGTGTGTGTTCATCTTTTGCTATAGTGTATCAAGGCAACATGATTCCAAGTAGATTATATAGTTGGTGCCAATATTAATCTTGTTTATTTGGTATTTTTGACACTAGGTCTTATGTAGCCCAGGCTAGCCTGTGTAGACAGTGAGAAAGTCGAGCTATGATCTTCCTGCCTCTTGGAGTTGTAGGCATGTGATGCCTTACCTGGTTTATGCTTGCTGAGAGGAAACCAGGGCCTTGAACAAGTAGACAAGCATTCCACCACCTGGGCCACAGCATCCGCAATGCTATTACTTTCAAAATGTGGGCAAGACTTAGATACATCTTTTTTTCTTCCTTTCTTTCTTTCTTTTTTTTTTTTTTTTTTTTTTTTTTTCTTCTTCTTCTTCAAATTAAGGCTGTCTTTCCTCTGAGTAATCCTTGAGCAATGCCTCCTAAATTTCTAAGATTTGTGTGATCAAAGATAAAATATTTTATTACTTATTAGAGAGTTTAACACCCTGAAAACTAAAGGAGTACTATTTGTGAATAAAAAGAAAGCAATATAAATGCTACATACATATTTTCTTGAATCTCTTTGCTTTATTTAATGAGCAATTTGGAGAAAGAAAAAAAAATTTCTTTTGGGGTGGGGGTGCCGGGAATTAAACCCGGGTCCTCTGGAAGAGCAGTCAGTGCTGCTGAGCCATCTCTCTCCAGCCCCTCATTTTATTTTTAAGGTTATTGTTTTTTATATTTGTGTGTGTATATACACTCTGTAGCACGTGTAGACAGGACAGCTTGTGGGCATGATTCCCTCCTACCATGTTGGTCCCAAGGATGGAACTGAGGTCATCAGGCTTTCTTTTTAAAGAAGTGCCTTTACCCACTGAGCCATCTTGACAGCCTGAAAAATTCACCATTTTAGATGGAACTTGGGTTAGCACTGTCATGTCAGTGTTTAGAAAGTTTCTTATAAATTTACACTGTCTGATGGGAAGTGTGTCATCTGTAATCAATTAGTCTAGATCTGACTGCAAGAGTAGGAACTACTTTTTTCCTTTTTACTCTTTTTTCAGGGGATTTTGATGAATTCACTCAAGATAATAATGACATTATGTTGAAAAACATAGCCGATGACCTTCGGAGCTGTCTGCCCCAAGAGGCTGTGCTTTGCTCGGAACAGCTAGCCCTTCAAAAAGTAAGTATGTTGAATCAAATTCATTTCTCTTTGTGCCACTCAGATTTGAAATCTGGTTCCCCTAACCCCACTTTGTAGTCTTGTTAGTTGGAAATTCAGCTTTAAGCAATTTTTCACTTAGTGCTTCAGTCACATCCTCCTTTCTCTTGAGACTTTAACCTTGGGATTCCCCAGCACAATTTTACTTAACAAATATTATTTAGGCGAATCCATTTATCAGCCTATTAAAAAACAAACAAAAAAAAAAGTGTTAACTGTCTGGGCCTTTCTGTCTATAAACACCTGAGCATTAAATCCTATGTTAATTGCTTTTTTATTGGGGGGATGCGCTGGAGAGTATGGTCAATGTGATTATTTGATAAGCTGATCAGGTTTTATTGCTCAGGTCGTGGTCTATAGTACTGCTGGCCTCAAAATTGAGGCCTCAGCCTCTGCACACTAGGGTTACGGGTGTGTCACCGCGACTAGCTCAACATTTCCATAGCATGAGGATAATGTGAACACTGAACAGGTCTTAGAAAGTGCTTGGTCCTTCAGATGGCTCTCGGAAGAACAAAGTTGAAGGTAGTGTTAAAATGAGACTTTGGCATACAGGTGGGGGTGTTGTTGGTACTGGATTTGTAATGCAGTTGGGATGCTATTAATGTTCTTATCAACGCCATGCTATAATATGTTAAATAAGGAAAAACTTATTCATTTACATATAATTGACCTATAGCCTTTAAAAAATGCTGTGAAAGTTTTTGAAAGGAAAATGAAGATGAACATGATAGTACATGTTTGCAGTTCAAGCACTTTAGAAGCTAAGGCAGGAGGATTGCTGGCAGTAAGGGTAACTGCAGCTATGTTTTTACATTTTAATACATATTAATGTATCTATAATCAGATATATCGGGTATTAGTAATGTGTGAGTATATATAACGGGTTTTTAATTTTTATTGATCCATTTATTTATGGTTGAGGCAGCTTCACTATAGTCTTAACTGGCCTAGAACTTGTTGTATAGACCAGGCTGCTCTCAGACTCACAAAGGTATCCTCCTGCCTCTGCCTCCCAAGTGCTGGGCTCAAGGCATTCATTACCATGTTCAGCCTGTTTTGGTTTTTTTGATACAGGCTGTAATCCAGGCTGGCCTTGAATTTACTAAATAGCCCAGGCTGGCCTCAAACTCGGGCACTCCTGCCTTAGTCTTCCAAGTGCTGGTTTTACAAATGGGAACTGCCATGCCCACATAATATAAGCTTGAAGTTTCAATAATATTTTAAGCAATTTGAACACAGCTTTCTGAAAAAAGATGACTTGCGAAGTATTTTGATGATTATTGACATGTCAGACTCAGAAGTCAGATCTTAGCCATGGTCTGTGTCCATCCACACTAAAGAGAAAGTTATAGGTGTCTCAGGAAAACAAAGGGGGAGGAGCAGTGAGCAGAACTGAATGAGCAGGGCTGTCGCTCTGTGCCCCGTTCTCAGGACTTAACAGAACAGCACTGATATTTCGCCTTATATAGCAATAAAAAGAAGATCCTTTGTACTTCTTTCCCTTTGATGTGCTTCTCCAGATGCGACAGCAGCCGGAGCCCACAGTTCACGTTGATGCATTCCTTTACGATGAAGACTTTATTGATTCATTATGTGAGGAAGGGAAAATGAGCAGAAACTACTGTACTGTGTGTGGCTCACACCAAACAGCACCTTTAGGTAGGCGGGTGTGTGTGTGTGTGTGTGTGTGTGCGTGCGTGCGTGCGTGCGTGCGTGCATACGTGCATGTGTGTGTTTTTTCCCATGTCTTGAGTGTGTAAATTTTGTAAGCAAACTATTGAACATCTTTTAAAATAAAAGCTAACCTCTAGCATAGCCTTTACCAAAATTAATTTTGGTAATAGAAATATTCTAAGGGCCAGCCAGATGGCTCAGGGGGCAAAAGTGTTTGCTGACAAATCTGATGACCTGAGTTCAATCACTGCAGCCCACGTGGTAGAAGAGAGAACCGACTTCCTCAGGTTGTCCTTTGAGTGCCACATGGCACCCTGAGGCACACACAGTCGTGCACTCTCACATTCAAGTAGCTACGTGGGCGGCGAGTGGGTAGATAAAATGTCACAGAGTGTGGAGATCCGTTCACTTAGTGTGTCCTATCCAGAACTATTTAAGCAGAGACAGTTCTTCAGCCCGGAATCTGACAGACAGGACTACAGACAGACCTGCCTCAAACTTCACAAACTCCACAGGTTGATACACAGACCACACACTGGCTCATTTCCCGTGAGAAGTGTAACTTCCAGGGCATCTGAAATAGTCTCCATGCTTAGCAAGTCCGATAGTGATAAAATACTGCTGGGTGGGGTTAGACAGAGAGACACAGGGTCCCAAGAAAAGTTATTCTCTAAAGATGACACTTACAGGATAGAAAAAGAGATGGCTAAGAGCTAGGGGGAAAACTGACAGGTGAGTAACTGAAATACCATAGACCAAACGACTGACTTGTAAACATTTACAGAACTAGGTTTGACAAACAGGGCTGTGTCTCCCCCTGTAATCATTTATAAATGATGATTGGATACCCAGAGCTGCTCAGGTGACTAATGAGTCTGAGGTGTTTGTCACCATGGGTGACTCTGACAGGGACTCAGAAGACAGGGGTTTGTCTAGCTTTGGGATTCCCCAGAAGAATCACTGGTGTGGTGAGGGGCTGAGCATGAAAAGCCAAGGGAGATACCAGGGAAGGCCTAGCCCCTCCCACCTCTGAGCTGTGTAACTCTTGAGACATAGGCACGCCCTATATTCTGTCCCTGGAGACTGCTTGCATTTAGTTACCACCTAATGTGTTTTTGTTTTTTATGACCACGATATCTTCCCTTCCTGACAGTTAAATTCTGTCAGACAGGATGTTGTGAGTCTTTGAGTGTCCTGCAGGTCAGAGGAAAACCAGAGTCAGGCTGTCTCGGAAACTAAGGTGAGAAACTTAGACAAGGAGAAGTGACACAGCTAGCCAGGCGTGGTGGTGCAGGCCTTTAATCCCAGCACTCCAAAGATAGAGGCGGGCAGGTCTCTCTGCGTGCCAGAGCTACACAGTGAGACCCTCTGTAAAAAAAACAAACAAAAACAAAGCCATAGCTTGATGCTCATTTTCTTCTTTCCCCAGGTTTTATTTCTCATTCCTTCTCACTGGCGGAGTTGAAGCTCATTTATCAGCATGTACTCCCGGATCTGTCAGGAAAGGTCTTGGTTGACATTGGCTCCAGACTTGGCACAGTCCTTTATGCGGTAAAGTCCGGCTTGTGGACATACGCAACATGTGGAAAATACTTTCTTCTGCTAGCAACAGTTTTGCCTGCCACCATCCAAGGTGACAGCTTGGCTTTATTATAAAGTAACAGGATAAGGTCAAAATAGGATCCTTTGGCAGGCTCCTAAATTCTGCTCCATGGTAATAATTGGGTTTGGAATTTCAAAGACCAGCTGTCCAATTTCCTCTCCTGGTTTGTCTCCACAACACAAATGACAACTGTAAACAGAGTGGACCGTGTGACTGACTGACACTCTCTCTCCCTCTCCCCTGCCTTCCTTTTGCCTCCCCTCCCCTCTCCTCCCTTCCTCTTCTCTTCCCTTCACCTCTCACTATCTGATCTGTGTTTTGTTTTGTTTGGGGGTCAGGGTGGGGGCGTGCTTTTCATGTGGCCAGGCTAATCTCAAACCTACTATATAGATGAAGATAAACCTGAACTCCTGATCTTCCTGCCTCAGCCCACTAAGTACTGTGATGACAGGCTTGTCTCCATACCTGGCTTCTTTTTCTTTGTGCTATATTATAGTAAAATAGTATACTGAACTTTGATAAGAACTCATAAAAATAACAAATTACTTAGCCTAAGAAACCTTTGTGCGACCATAGCAAGTTGCCATGATGTAACTTCCCCAGAAATTCCTACAAAGGCTGGAATGTGGTCACTTTCATCATTTCTGGCATTGCCGTATGCCCAGCTTCCTCAGGAGAGTGTAGAAATCAGTCTGAAAATATAGCTGTATGATAGGAGTTAACAGACTTCAGTCAAGGCCCTGATCAGTAAAGTGCTGAACATTGAAGTTCTGTGAGTTTGATTTTTTTAAATTCAAGTGTCTGTAATCCTCTACTTAAAAGCTAACTGGTTCACACTGTGCTGTGTCTTCTTGTTTTAGGGCTACCTTTACAGCTCGGCAGCGCAGCTCTATGGAGTAGAGCTTAATGGAGAATTTTGCCATTTGCAAGAAATGGTCATAAAAAAATACCAGTTCAGTGACAGAATAAAGGTACCTTTACAGTATGTTTTCTGTTACCTTTTATGAGTCTTACCTAATTGCTTCTGTATTCTAACCTATTGCTGCTGTTGTGTAGGAACTGATTAAGCTGACATATTGTTTTATTAAAGAGTTTTTCCTTCTCTCTCTATATCAGACACAGTTTGAGTAGCGGTTTGCTGTCAGTGTGTTTTATTAAGCTGAAAGTGGAAGGGCTTGCACTGATCATGACCGTTTATCTTCTTATAAAATGGGAGATATTATAAATGTCACAGGATAGTGGTCATTAGGGAAGGATGGCTCTGTTAGGCTGCAATGGGTTTCCTCTTTATCCTCAAAAAATTAAAACAAAGGATTTGGGGGTTTTGGATTTTTGGAGGAGGTCTGTTTAATGCAGTAATCTTTGAAATTTCAATAAGGTACTGAACTTCTCATGGCAATACAGAGAATATTAATAACCTCTGATATTAAGGAACTGCCCGTAACATTGAAACACTCACTAAGTTTAAAGATCAAGGGGTTGGAGAGATGGCTCAGTACTTAAGAGTGCTTACTGCTCTTGCAGAGGAACCTGGGGTTCCCTTAGCCTACATCCAGTGTTCACAATTGCTTGTAATGTCAGCTGCATGTGATCCAACATGCTCTTCTGGTCCCCAAACGCACCTGCACACACATGGTGAACATACAGATAAGCAGGCACACACATGTACATAAATAACAAATAAAAATTTTAAAAAGATTAAGGATCAAGCCTTTCCCTTTTTTATGAAAGGTAATTATTTTATTCTCTCACCCAATTTCTTTTCCCTACCCTCATCTTAGACATAGAAGGATAAGTGACCAGAGTGAATTCATTGCCTAGTAATAATTGCTAATATTAGAATATTACTAATTATAGATATTAATAGAATTCATAAGTAGGGAGTCATGCTCGGTGTCAAAATACTTGTCATCATCCATGTACAGAATTCTGGATTTAGTCCCTGGAAGTGCAAAAGATTAGTTCCTGAGTTTTCTTTTTTTCAGCCCAGACTGACCTCAGTCTGCTCTTATGTAACAATCACATAGCTAACAAGAATTTCTGTTAAGTTGAAAATTGAGAACTCATTGGGAGCTGGAGAGAGAACTTACTTAGTTCAGAGCATTGCAGGGACCCAGGTTCAGTTTTCAGCACCCATAGAGTAGCAGCCAACGGTTGTCTGTAACTCCAGCTCAGTAGTTTCTGACACCCTCTATTGGAGTTCACAGGCACTGCATGTATGTTGTACACAGCATACATATGACAAAACAGCCATACTCATAAAGCAAAAATAAATAAACTGTCCTTTAAAAATTACGACCTCTAAAGAATCAGTTAAAAACAAATAATCAAGTTCTTGCTTTTGTTTTTTTTAAATTCAGTAATAAAGGCATATAAAATATTTATATTTATGAAATTTTTTATCACTTTAAAAAAATACTTTGGTACACACCCGTGTATTTTATCCTAGCTTGTAGCTTCTATGGCCACCATCAGTAACTTTATGGTGAAAAACTTGGGGTTTTTTTCCCCCCCAGTGCAGGCATCAAGCCGATCCCTAACTCCTAAATTAAAGCCTTTTTATACCACCCTATGGCTTTCGGAAATCTTAACCATTTCCCTCTTGAAGCTGTAGATAAACACTGTGTCGAAGGGTCTTAAAATCAACAAAAACCGTTTCTATGAATATTTTTGATAGCGCCTGTTGAAACCTGTCTGCCCTTTCAGGCTCATTCTTTCTTTTGCTTTTTTTCCCCCCTTTTTCTTTTATGTCTGTGTTTTGCCTGCATGTATGTGTGTGTACCATGTGAGTGTGTTTTGCCCACGGAGGCCAGAAGAGGCCATCAGATGTTGTGTGGTTGTGGATGGATGTGGGCGCTGGGAACAAAGCCTGGGACCTCTGTGAGAGCAGCAATGGTCTTAACTGCTGAGCCGTCTTTCCTGTCCCTCTTCTCTGTGTTGATTTGTTGAGTTTGTGTGAGTGAGTGTGTGTGTGTGTGTTTTTGAGGGGTGAGTGATGGTCTTTTTTAGCCACTCCTTCTGCAGTCTGCCCATACCTGAATGAGAAACAAGATCCAGGGTATGAGTGGGTGGTACAGTGCCTACCTTGTACACACAGAGCTTGGGGTTGGATCTGAAAAAAAGAAAACGTAGGAAACCACAGCTGGTGAAGCTCCAAGCTTGTTGAGTGAAAACGGGAGCTGAGACTTCTTCACTGTGCAGCATGGGTAAACAGTTGGGGAGTGTCTGAGGTCTTCCATCAGTGGCTAAGCTCCCTCCTACCCCCAGCCCAGGGATGAGCTTCCCACATCTCAGTTCAGCAGTCAAGAGGAACCTGGGAACTTAGTGAAGGGGGCTTAGAGCTGGCGGTGCTTGGTGACCCATGTTCATCTCGCCTTTGCTGCCTTGTTTTCTGTAATCTCCTCAGCCGCCAGCTAGGCCTGCTGTCTCCTGGTCCACATGTCTAACCCTATACCCAGAGAATAAGCCTGTGGGAGAAAAGCATGTAGGTTCCTAAACTAGCTTTGAATTGTTCTTTTCTTTTTTGTATTTCCCTCTATTCCCTCACCTGTCCCTGCCAACTACCGCAGGCTTACAGAGATTCTGTAACAAATCAGGGCAAATCTTCTAAATTCCTTACAACTTTCTCCCCTCTTTTTCTTTTTTTTCTTTCTCCTCCTCCCCCTTTTAATTAGTTTATTTTTTTACATTCTGTCCCCTCTTAAACTTCAAATTGTCTTGGTTTGGTTTTTGGGGTTGTTTCTTTTTGTTTTGTTTTGTTTTTCAAGACAGGGTCTCTCTTTGTAAGAGCCCTGATTGCCCTGAAACACCTCTGGGGATCAAGCTAGCCTCAGACTCACAGAGATCCATCTGCCTTTGCCTTCCAGGTGCTGGGAATAAAGATGTGCACCATAGCCACCCAACTAAATTTCGAAATTTTTGTGTCTGCTGTTTCTGTTCTATTTCCCTTATCTTTCTTGGTTTGTAGCCTTTTTCTAGTTAAAAAAAAAAAATAGTAGCTCCATATTGTTATTATAATAGAGTGTTAATAATACATGCCAGTGCTTATTTATCTACTCTCTTGGCCTACAAGGTCTGTTGTTTTACATTCTCTGTCCCTTTCCTTCAGGCTAGCACTAAGCTTTCACTCTTTCCTATCATTTCTCTTTCCTTTGACTGCACTGGGGAGTTACATCAGTTGATTCCCTCCCCTCCCTCCCCCCCCCCCCCGCACATTACTATATTATATTTGGGCACAGGTACTATGTCTCATTTAGCTGGTTTGTCTCCCTGCACAATATCTCACATATAAGAGGTATCCACTCAATTTTGGTTAAGTTGAGCTTGATTGTTTCATGGCTTCTGAGCCGCCAGCAGTCCTTAGGGTTTTCCTGGCACCCTGAGAGCACTTCTGTTGGCCACCATCATTAATTGGTCCTTCTGAGTCCTCTTTCCCTGATCTGTGTAGTACAAGAATGGAGGAAGAAGAAATGAGTAAAAATAGATGGGAAAGAAAAAGGAGGAACTAAGGATAAGAAGAGGATGAAGATAAATCGGCTGATTAGTTTACATGTCTGTCGCATAGCTAAGCTACATGTTTATAATATCTGAAATTATTAACTGGGTGGTTTGTGACAAGAGCCTTACCCTCTGAGCTGTCTCTCTAGCCCAGCTGTCTTTCTTTTTATTGAAGACAGCGTCAAAGTTGTACTTAAAGGTTCTAAGCCAAATGAATTAAAGCTTTAGAATGTTTTTTTTTTTTTTTTTTTTTTTTTTTGAAACCTGACCATACAACACCCTGCATGTCATGTATTTGTAAGGCTTGAGTATTTATTTATTTGAAAATGACTCACATACCATAAGGTAAAGGTTTTTCTCTCCCTGTTAAAGTCTATTTGTTTTACTCTTGAGCAAGTAAGTGTGCCTTCTTGTTACCGTGGCTATGGTCTCGCAAAGCCTTAATTATAGTTTAAGTTTTTGAGTTACATAGGATTTTTTAAGGCTTTATTGTAGTATTTTATGTGTATGAGTATTTTGACTGTATGTATGTCTGTGCACCAGATGTGATGCCTGGTGACCACAGAGATCATAAGGCATTGGTTCCTCTGAGACAATCGTTACAGAAGGCTGTGAGCTGCCTTGTAGCTGCTGATAATCGAACCCTGGTCCTCTAGGAAAGCAGCCAGTGCTCTTAACCCCTGAGCCAACTCTTCAGCCCTATATAGTGTTTATATACTTTGTTTTGCTAATTTTTTCTCACTGAACCAACTCTTCAGCCCTATATAGTGTTTATATACTTTGTTTTGCTAATTTTTTCCTTGGCAGGTAATGGAATTATGGAGCTGCAGACAGCTGTTAGCCATATGTGGGAGCTGGGAACCAAATCCCAGTTCTCTTCAAGAGCAGTTAAAAAAAAAAAAATCTGAATTCAGTTAAAAAGAAAATAATTATGACTTGGGGAACACAATTATAATGAAACAAATAATTCCATTCAAAGGCTTTTTTTTTTTTTTTTTTTTTTTTTTTTTTTTTTTAAAAGGCAGGGTTTCTCTGTATTATAGCCTGGCTATCCTGGAATTCTATTGGTAGATCAGGCTGGCCTGGATGGATCGAACTCACTGAAATCCACCTGCCTCTGCCTCCCCAGTGCTGGGACTAAACGCATGTGTTACCACTGCCCAGCAAAGCAAATCCTCTTTACAAGCTTGTGGGTTTACTAGATACTAAGAACTCTTTATGGTCTTCACAGCATCCCAAGCCAGTAGGCATTTCTTAAGTGGCTGCGTGATGCAGTATTATCATTTCTTACATGAGCTCATTCTTCTCTAGGTGCTTCATGCAGACGTCTGTACCCAAGGTTCACTTCTGCAAAGTGCTGATGTCATTGTAATGAATAACGTCTTCGAATATTTTCTTACTGAGGCTGAACAGGCAAGGTATGTTATTTACTGAAGCAAGAACCCTGTTAAAATATATTCAGCAAGGTGTGAAAAGAGACTAGTAAGGTTGAAATGTTTTCATGCTAACTTTAAAATGACAAACTCAGCTTGTTTTTTTTAATAATTTTTATTTATTCCTTGACAGTTGCATACATGATATCAATTTATTTAAATCAGGAAACATTAAATACAAAATGCAAAATTTTGAAAAAAAAATTTGTAAAAGTATTTAATTTTTTTTAAAGTTTGCATGTATTTATTTATTTGTGTGTACAAAGCCTTCCTGTGCAGAGTGTAGGAAATGACCACCGTAACTTTCTGCCCCTGGATGTTTAGGCCCCAAAGATTGCTCTCTTGCAGAATGCTCCTACTGAGGTTAGCTAAGCCTGCTTCCTTGTCAGCTGCACACCATAAGCCTTGGCTCCTTGCTCAGCTGAATGAAATATCCTGTTCAACTGTATAAAATAAACTCTGAGCTTCCAAGTGATGCAACTTCTCCTTCCAAGAGCACAGCCCACCCAACCCCAGTTTTTCTGTACATGTGTCTGTCTCCTTTTTTCATTCCCTCATCGCCCCTAGTGGGTGTTCTGACCCAAGCTGTACGAAGATGCATTAGTCCATGGCAGTGAATTCAGCTAAATAGCTAGTTCAGTGCATCCTGAGCTCTGTGAGACCTTTCTCAGATAAATGAAAAAGTCATGCTAATATAGTTCTTTAGTCTTGTATTAAATTAAATCAGCTTGTAAAATACATCATTTTTAGGACTATATCCCAATAAAAAAAAAAAGCTCCAGCTGAACAGTGACATTTATTATTGAATATTGCAATGTAATATTTTACCCATACAGAAAAAAAGAACATTGTATTGTATTGTCTTGTTAGTAAGTTCTGAAACATATGAAACCCATAGCCTCAACCAAAAATTTTGATACCACTATCCATCCACCTCACCCACCTCACTGCAAGGACTGCTCCCCTATATTGCTTCATTGGTGCTCCCCACGGGTGTGGTAAACTATTAACCCTGAGAGTTAAACAGAACTGGTCAGACACTGCACTCTGAAGTGCATCAGCGGGTCCCGTTTCATTAACCTTTAGAACTGACTGGCCCCACCTGACCGTGCAGGTGCTGTGTGATATTGAATTCCATCCCAAAATACTCCAGACAGCCAAATGAGGTCTGATCTTGCTCTTGATGTGAGTTTTAAAAAATCTAATGTATACATCACACACATCTACATTTTATTTTTGATTCCTGGCTTCTGTGCCCTCTGTTTTCCCAGGACTCCTCATCTCCCTCTGCCCCTAGCAATCCCAGCCCTGGCTTCCATCAGAAGGACTGATTCTCATAAAGAAACTACAAAGTTTTGACACTGGTCCTGCTTGACTTGTGTGACTCTGAACTTCATTTCTCCTTACTCAGAAACTTTCCAGTAGCCCACACCCCCATCTCGTTAATCTCAGAACTCTAACTTTGTAACTTTGCCAACACCCCCCAGGAACTGGAAAATTGGTCAATTTCTACTGTGTCGCTGTAGCTCTGTTTCCTGTGGGTAAACATTTTGCCCATCTAGATTTCTAGATATCGTCTGCATTTTCTTTTGTCATCCTTATTCAGGGAAAAAAAAAAAAAAATCCAGTGTTGAATAAAAGCTAACATGTTAGGTTTTTGTTTTTCGTTTCTTAGTGCAGTTTTGCGTTCTAAGCAAAACTGTAAGAAAGATAAAGATTTCCTGCATTCTCCTCCCCACACACACCTACAGAGTCTATGCCACTGTCATTCTTCCCATCAGAACAGTGTGCTTCTCATGATGGATCTTCGGTACACCGTAGTCACCAGAAGTCCCCAGTCCACAGTAGCATTCGCCCTTGGTGCTGTGCAGCCCATGTATATGTTTAGATGTGTAATGACACACACTCAGCCTTAAAACACGGAGAGTAGTTTCACTGCCTGAAAAATCTCTTGGTTCCTGTACCCTAGCCTCACCCTTGGCAGCCACTGGGTCTTTTCACCAACCCACAGCTTTACGTTTCCAGCACCAGATAATTAGAATCATACAATCCAGATTCCTTTCTGGTTAGGTTCTTTCTCTACCAATAGGCATTTGAGGTTCCTCTGTGCCCTCCTGAGTTGAGCACACATTTCCTTTCAGTGCTGAACAATATGTAGTTGTCTTGATAAATCACAGTTTATCCATTCCTCTGAAAGATGTCGTGGTTGCTTCCAAGTTTGGGCAATTATGAATAAAACAACAGTAAATATTAATGAACCTTTTTTTTTTCTAAATACATGTTTTCAGCCTCTTTGTGTAAAGAGCAAAGTGTGCAGTTGCTGGATTGTATATTAAAGACTACAGCCAGGGTTGTGTTTTCCATTGTTGTTGTTGAGATAGTGTTTAATTCTGTAGCTAAGGCCAGTGCCCTGAAGCTCACTATGTACTCCAGGCTGGTCTCCAGCTCAAGAGGATCCTCTTGCCTCAGTTTCCTCAGTGCTAGGATCCCAGGTGTGTACCACCAAACTTGGTTGGGCTGTAACTTAGAGGCAGAGTAGATTGCTTAGCATGCTTGCGCTCTCTTTCTCTCCCCGGCATGAGAATAAAAGAGGAGGCACTGAGCAAGAGAACTGTCTCTATTCTGATTAGTATGTAATATTATCTCACTGTTGTTTCATTGTATCAATTTTTAATGTGTTCTAGAGCCTGGGGCTACATCATCCATAATGTAAGAAAACAAGGATCACTACTAGTGACAGTACCAAGTCTCCAAGATTCTCTCTTAGGTCTTGAGGTATGTAACCACTTTTCCTTCTGTTGATTGGTTAGTTAGTTTTGGTTGTGGTGGGAATTAAACCTAAGGCTTCTGAGCTGGGCACGTGGGTGTCTGAGCTTAAGGGAAGCTAGGTCTGTAGAAAGAATTCACATCAGCCAGGACTACATAGAGAAACCCTGTCTTGAAAAAATACAAACAAACAAAAATAATACGAACAAAATATCCCTAGGACATGCTTGCTAGGCAAGCACTGTACTGGTCTGTATCACCAGCCCCTCAACATTTTTCTTATCAAAACTTAGATTTTTTTTTTTTTCTGATAACTATTATAACATTCTAGACAATGCAAGACTGTGTTGCTAAAGTTCTGCTTTGTGGTTTATTTTTCTACCCTCAAAAGCACTGAAATACAATTCATATCTGGATATAGGTTCCCTTGTTTCTCTACACAGTTTTTCGTAGCTGTGGGGTCATAGTTGTAGGTTAATAAACACAAGTGAATGAGGATAAGTTACTAACTCCCCCTCCCCAGTCATAACTGAGGGGGAAGGGTAACCCCAGCCACATGGGAGGCTGCAACAGGAGGATCATTTGAACACACAGGTTTGAGACCAGCCTGGTCAACAGAACCCCCTTCTCAAAAGCTAAGATGGAAAAATGAATACCCATATCATAGCACTGTCCTTTAGAACAGAAGGAATGGATGATGAATGCATTTTTAGGCCAGTCAAGCTACATATCCAGACTCTGTAATACATAATAACGGAGCTGCAGTATGGTCAAAGATGTCCGAGGATTTCAAGTAGGGTTGGAAGATTGTATTCTTCATGCAGTTTGATGTCCCAAGCATTCTTGAACATTGAACCATCTCTGTGTCCCTAGTTTTACTTATTATACCAAAGGAAGCAATCAAGAAATGAATAAAGAAATATATTAATCCCTATTTACCATCTCCATTTCCTCCTTATGAGAATCCTGCCCATCAGTAATGTGATCTACCATAGTTTTCTGTTCTCGTAGAAACATCCCTTTTAAAATATATTGTTCGTTAGGCATAGTGGCACACGCCTTTAATCTCAGCACTTGGGAGACAGGCAGGAGAACTTTCTAAAGATTTATTTATGGCTAGGTGGTAGTGGTCCACACCTTTAAACCCAGCACTCAGGAAATAGAGGCAGGTGAATCTTTCTGAGTTTGAGGCCAGCCTGGTCTACAGAGAGAGTTCCAGGACAGGCTCCAAAGCAATACTGAGAAACCCTGTCTCAAAAAAACAAAAACAAACAAAAAAGATTTATTTATGTGTATAACTACTTTGCCTGCATGTATATATGTGCACCACATGTATGCTTGGTGGCCACATTGGTCAGAAGAGAGCAACTAATTCCTTGGAACTGGACTCAGGAATAGTTGAACCACCATGTGGGTGCTGGGATCCAAACCTGGTCCTCTGCAAGAGCAGCAAGTGATCTTAACTACTGAGACATATCCCCAGTCCCCAAAATAACAGCTTTAATACTATGTACATAAATCTGTCCAAAAGCCATCGGCACTTATAATCACAGCATTCCAGACGCAGCAACAAGGAGGTTCATGAATTTGAGGCCATCCTGGCCTGTATCAAAAGATCTGATCTCACAAAAACTAAAACGTGAGGTCTAGAGAGATAGCATGTACCATATATGTGGCATGTACATATACAAATAATAAATACAATGAATTGTTAAAAATGTTTTATTTTTTAAAGTTAGGCATGTTGGTGCAGGTCTATGATCCCAGTGTGTGGGAGGCTGAGGCATGAAGATTGAGAGTTGACTGGAAGCCAGCCTGACTCAAAAAATGAAAAGATGCCGGGCAGTGATAGCACATGCCTTTAATGCCAGCACTCGGGAGACAGAGGCAGGTGGATCTCTGGGAGTTCGAAGCCAGCCTGGTATCCAGAGTGAATGCTAGGACATCCAGGATTGTCACACAGAGAAACAGTCTCCAAAAAAAAAAAAAAAGGGGGGGGGGAGGAAGGAAGTAAAACGGATGGCTTTGTTGCTTTCTTACTTAAGAAAACAACTCTGAGGTCAGTGTGATGGCTCAGCAGGTAACAGCTCTTGCTGGTCAGGCCTGGCTGCCTGGGTTGTCCACATGGTAGAAAGGACTGACTCAGGAGGGTTGTCCTTGAGTATCCACATGTGCATGTGTGACAGTTGCTAAATTTGTTTAAAAAGAACTGCTTTGAACAGGTTTGCGTGGCCATGGCTCCAGAGTTTATAGGCTGAGGGTACAGTCTCATGCAGGTTATAGAGGGGGAATGAGAATGAGTTTTCTGTGCTTTGTGTGTATTCCTATTGTTTCCATCTGTGATTATTTAAGTCTTATGATAAGTGTTATACTATTGAGAGCACTGGCTGCTCTTGCAGAAGACTTGGGTTCTGTTCTCAGCACCCACATGTTAGCTCACAACCATTCATAACTAGTTCCAGGATAACCCCCCTTCTGAACTCCATAGGCACCAGGTGCACACAGGTAATGCACAGTCTGCATTCAAGCAAAACACTAGTAGACAGAAAATAAATCTAAACACATCTTATATTAAAAACTCTAAAATTTTTCAAGTACCAAAATCAGAATAAAATAAGTCTCCAAACCCACAAGTTGAGAATAACAAAATTTATTCATGTGGTACGTAACTTAGTGCTATTCATAGTAATAACAATCCTGTGGTGTAAGGGGCCGAGAGATGGTTCATCAGGTAAGAGCACTTGCTGCACCTACAGGGGACCTGGGTTCAATTCCCAGCACCCATGTGTCAGCTCACAATTTAAGTCTTTAAAAATACATTGGTTGTGTCATTTACTTAGGGTGATATTATTGTGAAATTCTGAATAAGATAATTCTTAAATTTTTGTGTTGCTTATGCTTTTTTATTCCCATAGACTAATATGCAGCTGTCTTCCTGGGTGGAAGAGATACCATTGAACCTTGATGTGTACCCACAAAGGGACATGGACAGAGAAGCTCTTGAACAAATTCATTTATATAAGGTTCTCTAGCACAGGAGTAACGCTGTCTAGTGTGATATGTTAATCCATGTGCTTTGTAGAGTCTCTTTTATGTTTTGTGTGTATGATTCTATATCTGTAAATAGTTACATATGATTATACATATACAGTAGTTGTATATGGCTATAAATAAACTAAATATAATTAAAATATTTGTCTGAAATATTTTGTTTGCCCTTTTATTCTGTTACAAACATAAGCATATCTGTTTTTAGTTTACATGCCACCTCCACTAGATTTAGATTTTTTGTTTGTTTGTTTGTTTTATTTTGAGACAGGGTTTCTATGTGTAACAGCTCTAGCTGTCCTAAAACTCATTCTGTAGACCATGCTGGCCCTGAACTCACAGAGATCAGCCTGCTGCTTCCTCCCTAGTGCTGGGATTAAAGGCATGTGCATCATCACTGCCTGGTTGTTACATACCATCTCCAAATGTACCTCCAGGACATCCAAGAGTGACTTCTTTCCTGCAAAGGAGAAGGTAGACCTTACTGTGCCATTTACTATCTCTTTGTTTATAGTTTTTTGTTTTGTTTTTTTAAGTTTCTAGGAAAAAGTGAAACTAGATAGAGCTCCCAAATACTATGTAGACACTTGGTTAAAACAAGTTTTAGTTAGCCGGACATTGGTGGTGCACGCCTTTAGTCCCAGCACTTGGGAGACAGAGGCAGGTGGATCTCTGTGAATTTGAGACCAGCCTGATCTACAAGAGTTAGTTCCAGAACAGCCTCCAAAGCCACAGAGAAATCCTGTCTCAAAAAATGGAAGGGGGAAAAAAAAAAAAAAAAAAAAAAAAAAAAAGGTTTAAATTAAAACTACCCTATTCCACCTCTCTTCCCCCTTTTTAAAGACAGGATCTCCTTGTGTAGACCAGGCTGCCCCCCAAACTCAGTCTTCCTCGTGTGCTTTAGAATAACACTTGAGCTGTTCAAAAGCAGCTAAAGCAAAACAAACAACAAAAACCAAATTCCCAAATTTTGGCTCCGAGGGAGGAAAAGACAAGTCCTGACAATAAATGATTAATCCGAAACAATGATTGAGCATTTGGATTCCTCTTTGTTTATTTTTCTTTGCCAAACAGACATTTTTATTTAGGGCAAACTTCAAGGTGCACATAAGAGCTGTGCTTTCTGTCTGAGCACAGACCTAGAAAATACACTAACCAAAATCCATCTTCTCACTGAAGTATGAACTGAAGAATTCTGGAAATCCACCCCTTGGGCACTGTAGAGCACACGGTTTATGGTACATGAAGAAGCTTAAGGAGGGCTTAGCTTGCTGAGAACTGAACATCCTACACTTCCAGTAAAACACTAAATAATTTAGATGTTTGGAAAAGTTGGGAAGTTACTGTGTGGCCTAGCAGCTCCACTCCTAGAAACACACCCAAGAGAAGGGGAAATAATGTCTACAAGTGTTAATATCACATGTGTCCACCTAATTCTGAAGCTAGTGGTGTGGTGGTAGTGGCACTAGCTGATAAGCCCAGCCAGCACTCAGGAGCCTGAGACAGGATTGCCAGTTCAAAACCAGCCTAAGCTACCTGACAAGCTTTCAAAACCAAAATAGGACAGTGGGGGCAGTATACATGCGATTCTTAAAAATGGTATTAAGAATTACACAAATTTCACTGAGTTCACCAGGAGCCGGGATGATTGTAGCACTATCACCAGTGTGAGTAGGCACAGAGCCCTAACTAAAATCTAACCCCACAGTCTTCTCTCTGTGTTCTCATGCATGTTCCCTGGGGACCTGGATGCATGTCCACTACATTCATAGTTGCCATCCATTTATAGCACTAGGGATACATCTTACTTTATGAATGATTATACACATGAAAAAAAAGCAAAATTTGCTGACCAAAGTCTAAAAGACAAAGCAAGGTGCCCCCAAGTCAATAAGGCATGGGGTCTAAAACCAGTGGGGAGGCTAATCTCTTTTTCCATATTTAGTAAGAGTTTGCCGGGGATTTTGACAGATTAGTACTGAAGCCAGTATGTACATGTTTATTCAAAACTGAAAGATCAGGGCTGGGGTACAGTGGTGGACACCTGTAGTCCTACACTTGGAAGGTAGAGGCAGAATGAAGAGTTCAAGGTCATCCTCCATTACCTAGTTAGCTCAAAGTCAACCTGAGCAGCTGGGCATTGGTGGCACACGCCTTTAGTTCCAGCACTCAGGAGGCAGAGGCAGGCAGATCTCTGGTCTACAGACTTAGTTCCAGGACAGGCTCCAAAGCAATACAGAGAACCCTGTCTCAAAAAAACAAAAAGAAAAGGAAAGAAAAGAAAAAAGCCTGGGCTATAAGAGACCAAAAATGTCTCCAAAAATAAAAAAAGAATGACTCCTTATAGGAAGAGAGATAGCAGCAGTCAAATACATGTTTACAAGGCTTTGTGCACACTTAGAATTCTGACTAAGTCTAAGTGTTGCATCTAATGTTGATATTGTGCGTAGTTTTACTGAAATGGCATCATGACCATGGTGTGGCCACAGTACTAAGACAGTAAAAATATGCCATGGTGAAAACTGGTTATCTTCAGCCTTCCATTTTTCCTCTTGTGTGTCATCCATCCCATCCTTACCTTCTGACCTGGCTTCTTTCATGGAGGTTTAGTTTTTGTAGGATCATTACCATTGTATTTTCTTTATCTGATTTTCTCACTCTACTTCCTTCTTATGCTTTGCCCAGGTTTTAAGTTGGTTTACTGGGAAGGTGATGCTGGACCCTTCACACCCTGCCAGGTAGTGGAACACCATAAGCTTTTCATTTTCTTGTATTTTCTGAGCTAGGCATACATAATCCCAAGTGTTACAAAGAATGTATTTTTCAATTGGGTTATCTAAAATGAACAATGAAGAAGTAGGAAAATCATGTAGTGACCAATAATTGATTATGTTACTCCTCAAAGCTTGTACAAAACATGAGCAGAGGGCATTTTAGGGGCTCAGTAGGTAAGAGACTTGCTGCTCTTGCAGAGGACCTGGGTTCCATTCCCAGCACCCTCATGAGGCAGCTTGTAGCTGCCTGTACTCCTGCTCTAGGGGATCTGACTCCTCTGGTCTCTGTGACCTGCACATACACATACACAGATACACAGAACTCAAAATAATAAAAATAAATTCTTTTTTCAGTATTTTAATTGCCTCTGCCTCCTGAGTGCAGGAATTAAAGGCATGAGCCATTGGTTGTGGTGGTGCACACCTGAAGGATTTGCTGAGGGAGGCAGAGGCAGGAGAATCACAAGCTCAAGGCCATCCTGGGTTGCACATTTTGGGTTGGAGTGATGGCTCAGAGGTTAAGAGCACCCCCTGTTCTTCCAGAGCTCCTGAATTCAATTCCCAGCAATCATATGATGGTTCATAACCAACTCTAATAAGATCTGATGGTTTCTAATGGCATGTAGGCATACATGCAGACAGAACACTATACATAACATACATAATAATAAATAAAAAATTTACAAGACAGAATTTCTCTGTAGCTTTGGAGCCTGTCATGGAACTCACTCATAGATCAAGTTGGCCTTGAACTCACAGAGATCCATCTGTCTCTGCCTCCTGTGTGCTGGAATTAAAGGCATGAGCTACCACAGCCAGGCTATAATAAATAAATCTTTAAAAAAAAGGCATGTACCATCACTGCCCGGTCTGGTTTTGTTTTTGTTTTGTTTTGTTTTTTTGACTGTAAATCACTTGTAATAGCAGCTATGAGTTTGTGTTTCTGCAGCTTCCTACTGCTGCTGAAAACATTCCTGCTCTCCCTTGGAGGTGGAGTTATAGGTGACTGTGTGCTGCCCAATCTGGGTGTTAGGAACTGAACTGGGATCCTCTAGAAAAGAAGCAAGTACTTTTAAACACTGAGCCATCTCTCCATCACCCTAATAGTGTATTTTAAATATTAATAGGAAGAATGGTATCCTGATTTACAAATCACCTTTTACAGTAAGGTGATATTTAAGATTAACAGCAGTGTTTGTGGTAAAGTGTTCACCTACTGTAGTCAAGCCTAGGCTCAGTCCCACTGCAGCCATAAAAGGAAATATTGATAACCGATTGAACTGTTTTCAACATAAAATTTTGTTCTAGGGTCTAAGATACAACACAGTTGGTAGAGTGCTTACATAGCACACAAGAAGCCCTGGGTTTTGTTCTCAGCATTTCATAAACTAGGCATGGTGGCACTTGCCTGTGATCCCAGCACTCAGAAGGTAGAGGTAGAAGGGTGAGGATTTCAAGGTTGACAACCTAACCTTGGATCTCCAGAACCCATGGTATAGACAGAGATCACCGACTCCCAAAAGCTGTCCTCTGACCTCTATAAGAACATCATAGCACACACACACACAAATAATTTAAAATTTTGTTTAGGTAGAAACAGATAATGTAAACTACCCATATATACTAAAACATGCCACGGGCTAGACAGCTCTAGAAGAGAACAGATACAGTATTCCATAATTTTCAGAGAAGTAGCTGCTGGACATGTACTTTATATTTATCTCTACTTAAACTTACTCAAATATGTTTAATAAGCAAATGTTAAGCATGCAAATTGAAAATATGAAAATAAATATAACCCTATTATCTAGCAACACACGATGGCAATATTTTGACTTTTTTTTTAAATGAAAATAATATACTCACACTGTACCAAAAAAAAAAAAAAGAGTCAAACACAAAAGGCATAGAAAAGACGGAGCATGGTAGTTCACAGCTTTAACCCAGCTTATGGTGGGCACAAGCAGGTAGAATTCTGGGAAATCTAGGCCAGTCACGACTACTCAAAGATATCCTGTCTCAAATATTAGAAATGGGGGTGGGGGAGTATAGAAAGTGTACTTACTTCTTTTGGCTTTAGGCTATAGAACATGATACAATGAGAACTTGTTTCCTGGAGCTGGGGAGACGCTGAATGGTTAAAAGCTCTGGCTGCTCTTCCAAAGGGACCCCAGTTCAATGTTCAGCACCGGTATGGCAGCTCATACCTATCTGCAACTCCAGCTCCACAAACACAGTGCTCACTTCTGGCCCCACCAGCACCAGACACTGATGTAGTGTATAGTACATGGACAAAGGTACAGGCAAAGCACCAATGCACATAAACAAACAAACAAACAAACAAAATGAAAGTAAATAACTTTCAAGGCTT